ACTGGCCACCCACTACCAGGTGTCTGCCATGCAGGGTAGCTGCATTTCAATCTTACCTTTCTGCGAAGACAGTGTACAAACTAATGACTCCATCAGACTGGGAGGGAGGCTCACTCATGTTCCTGGCAGCTTCTACCCAGCACAACTGCTCGATTCAGACACCCTGCAGCCTCTGTCCCTCCAGGCAGAATGCATCTGGGTCTACACTTCTGATCTCTTAGCAACTGCTCCCTCCTAACAACGAAATCCATTTCCCACATGAATTCTTCATTGATTTTTTTACCACAGGAGGCAAAAAATGTATGAGAATGAAGGCTAGCAAAAGCTACTAGATCCCCTCACATACACTTAGGCCTCATGTTAGGGTGCATGGTTCAGAGGGCTTGTTGGTGAATGTCACAAGGCAGCCTTCTAGGCCAAGAAATCACCACCTTGGGGGTTTCAGCATTTTTCCCCTTGTAAAGATCATCCCAAGTAGCCAGTTTCCATGCAAACCAGAGGCTGGGAACAGAGTACAAGATTCAGATCCTGACCTGAGTGTCTAGCTGTTCCCCACACCTGGAAGGCTCCCTACCACCTGGAAGGCTCCACGTGGCCTGGGGCAGGGTCTATAATATACAGAGTTTCGGGGAGAACTAGAGTAGCAGTTTCAGGGCAGCCCTCATCCCTGTTGGGAAAGGTTTTTCAGGTGTGGTCAATGGAGGAGGAGTGGCCACACCCCTGTAAGGAACCCCTCACTTAGTCTCTGCAAGGAAACCCAAAATTCACTGGTTACCCAGAGTGAACTGTGGCAGAATTGTGCCATCATTTGTAGTTGGGCACTTGGGAGGAAGAGTATCATTGCTTTACTTCTCCCCTAAGGAAGAACCATTAACAACAGTGGCCAAAGTTAAAAAAAAATGAAAATCAATGATAAAGGTCTGGGTGTCCCACCCTCTCCCGTTCTCAATCTGGGCAGCATACATGTAAGGTCTTTTAATGGGCTCATGGACTCATTCTAAGGTACAATCAGAAGCATCAATATTTAAAGTACAGCCACCCGTCAGCTGCCTGAGGATATTGGTTCCAGGACACCCAGCCCTGTAAGCTCACTACACAAAGTGGCAGGGCCTTTGCCTTGGACCCACATGTCTGGCTACATAAATTAGCTCTATTTTGCTTACAATGTCTAATGCGATGTAAATGGTTCTGTTTTTATTAGTATTCTAAACTTATTAAAATGCATTTTAGCTTTATATGTGTGTTCCCTTGGATTATGAAATGATTTTTTTCCTTTTGATAATCAGGGATAAATTAGCTAGTTCTTTTTATGTCCTAACTCTTTTTGTGTTGTTGTATTTTTTATTTTTTGAGATTATAATTACATAATTTTCCCCTTCCCTTTCCTCTCTCCAATCACTACCATGTACTCCCTCTCTCTTGAATTATGTGCATAATATATAAATTAAGTACATTAAATTATTTAAAAAAAATTTTAAAGATAAGTTATATAATTACATAGTTTGTCTAAATATAAGCTGTTTCTACAAAGCTTGTACAGCCTGTATAATGAATGTTACATATATGTCTGTATGTATGTGTGCACATGTATATAAATGTGTGCATATATGCCTGCATATACAGAATTAAACATTTAGTATTGGATGATCAGTTTGTGTGCTCTTCCCTGAGAAGGCTATTTCTCTGACTCTCAACAATCCTTCGTAGCCTGTAGTTACATGTCTAGGGTTGGGACCTCCCTCATGAGTTTTCTCCCTTCCATGTTATAATGTGTAATAGTATCATCCTTGGTCAGGTCTTGTTTAGGCTGCCATGTGTAGCTTCCCTGACATTTCTAGGAGACACAACCTCATAGCGAATTCCTTAAGCCTCTGGCTTGTACAATCTTTCCAGTTGCTTTCCCATAATTCTCCCTGAGCCATAGGTGCAGAAGTTACATTGTGCATATTTAACTTGGAACTAGGCTATGTAACTCTGCAGTCTGATTGGTTGTGGTTTTCTGTAATGGTCTTTTTCTGTTTGTTTTTATTTTAATTAGAAAGAAAATTATTTTACATGTCAATCCCAGGTCCCTTTCCCTCTTCTCCTCCCCTTCCCCCAACTAACATCCTACCTATCCCATACCCTTTCTGCCCCCAAGGGAGGGTAATCAGAAATAGTGAGTCTTCAAAGTCTGTCTTATTCTTTGGGATAGGACCTAGGCCAACCTCCTTGTGTCTAGGCTCAGGGAGTATCCCTCCATGTGGGATGGGCTCCCAAAGTCCATTCTTATAATAGGGATAAGTACTGATCCATTACAAGAGTCCCATAGATTTCCAAGGTCTCCTCACTGACACCCATATTCAGGGGGTCTGGATCATTCCCATGCTGGTTTCCCAGGTATCAGTCTGGGGACCAAGAGCTCTCCCTTGTTCAGGTCAGCTGTTTCTGTGGGTTCACCAGCATTGTGTGGACCCCTTTGCTCATCAGTCCTCCTTCTCTACAACTGGATTCCAGTTCAGATCAAGGTTTAGCTGTGGGTTTCTGCTTCTACTTCCACCAGCTGCTGGATGAAGGCTATATGATGTCATATGAATTAGTCATCAATCTCATTACAGGAGAGGGAATTTAAGGTAGCCTCTCCTCTATTGCTTAGATTGTTAGTTGTCATCTTTGTAGCTCTCCAGACATTTCCCTAGTGCCTGATTTCTCTTTAAACCTATAATGTCTCCCTCTATTATATTCTGTTGCAAAGAAGTTTCCCTGATGAGGAGTGAAGAGTATACTTACCTGTGGGTAGACAGCTAAATCTTTAAAATACAATCAAGATTATGCTGATTTACTGAAGTGGCAATTGTAAATTCTCCAAGATCCATGACTTGGGCACTAGCTCCAGTTGTCTAGGTTTTCAGTATTCAGCATCATTAAACCCCTTGTTGTTACCACTGAGCTCTGTACATAACAATTACAACATTAAGATCATCATCCAAAGCTTGTCATTGTAGTTCGCAGGCATCATAACTGGTGGGAGTACTGGTTGCTTCCCTCCTTTGGATACTCATATGGTGCCTTCTGATACCATGAGAGCTAGTTCTCAGGGAGGAAGCTTTCAGGTTAGACTGAAATTGGGGCCTCTGGATCCTGTGTCTGAAGTTCATGGTAGCTTCAGCAATAGGGACCTACATTTTGCCTTTGAGAGGCAACTGAGAGAAACAAGGATAACAGATATGTTTTGGTAGTTTCTTGAAAAACCATGACTAATAACTCAAAAGGGGTTTCGTGTGCCTTCTGTTGGGATTTTGTTAGATGGCCTTTGCTCTTGGGGGGAGCAGTGTCAGCCCAGATGGGAACATTTTTGCTAAACTCTACCTATACATCTATATCTGTATAGAGAGAGATAGAGTGAAAGTGATAGAGACTTAAATATTTTAAGTAGAAAGTTAGTAGTATAATTCCTTATGACTTTTCCAGACATCTTGTCATTTTATCCTCCTCCCTCCCTTTTCTATATTTATTTCCCATCTCATTAATTAAAGCTCCACTATTTTTCTCATTTCTGCCATTAGATCACTTGCATCTTTTCTATCAGCCTAGCCCCTTCAATGGTCCCTTTTTATCTTGCTAGTTTCTTCAGTTACTCCTGCTTACATAGTCATGTCTGAAGATCTGGACCTGGGAACTTAGATGCAAAAGAACGTAACATTGTCTGCCTGATCTGAATTTTCCCACTCAAAGTGGTATGGTTTCCTTTCTATTTACTTACTTTGGGGGATGGTAAAATAAATATGATATTTCTCCCTTCAAGCCCTTCCATATAATCCTCCCCACCGTCCTTCAAATTCATGGTATCTCTTTACATTAATTGTTATGGCATGCATATGTGTATAATACAGATATATCCTTAAATATAACCTTCTTAGCTCATACAATGTTACTGGTAAATATGTTTCTAGAGCTTACCATTTTCGCTGGGGAGGACTGTCTCAACTGCTCCCAATTTTCCTTGGTTTCCTATAGTTTTTTATCTAGGACTGAGGCCCTGTGGGCTTTCCCTGTCCACTTTGTCATGTCCATAGGTTTCATCTTTGTTCGGATCATGTTTGGACAGTCATGCTAGTGAGACTTTATGGATGAAGCTTTTGACATAATAAAGAAACAATATCACAGCAAACTCCCTGATCTTGTGGCTCTCACAGTCTTTCTGTTAACTCATCCAAAATGGTCCCCAAGTCTTTGGTGCAAGAGTGTTTTGTAGATGTATTTATTAGGACTGAGTGCCACAACTCTGGGTTTTGATTGGTTGTGGTTTTCTGTAATGCTCTCTGTTGCAGGAAGAAATTTCTTTGATAAGGGATGAAGACTATACTTATCTGTGGGTATAAGGGCAAATGTTTGTAGAATGTTGTTATGCTAGTTTAGTAACTTAGTGGTTGTAGGTTCTCTTCCAATAATGATAACTTTACTAGAACTGAATAATAACCTAGCTCCATTCATTTACCTACAAATTTCATGATTTCACTTTTCTTTACAGCTGAACAGTATTCCACAGTACTACATTTGTACTTAAGTAAGCACTTCTGATGGGGAATGTACTGTGTATGTTTATCTTATTGATTATTCAATAAAATACTGTTTGGCCAATGAGACAGCAAGTAGTCAGGACTAAGAGTCAAAGAGGATTCTGGGAAATGTAGTAGAGAAGTGCTGATCCAGGCAGGAAGTGACATAGCAAGGAGACTCATATTTAAGCGAAGGAGAAACAGGAAGGGCCCCCTCTTTTTTCCTCTGCTCCTGCTCCAGCGGCACAATGTGATCCACCAGCAAGGAGGGACGCCAATAAGGCGTCCGATAAGATAAGTCTTATAAAATATATAGATTTATGATAATTAAGACTGACCTAGCAAATGAGAAGTCCTAGTCATTGGCCAAGAAGCTTTAAACCTAATACAAGTTTCTGTGTATTCATTTGGGCCTAACTCGGGTGGGCGGCTGGCGTAAAGCTCACACATGGTGGTGGGGCTCAGGCAGCTTTTGGTGGAAAGATTTATCCTAACAGACTTCCTTACCAAACCAGAGTCTCCTGATGGTGGGAATGAACAAGGTCAGTTTGGAGAAATCTCAGCAAGATTAAAACAAGTTTATTTCAAGTAATCAGACTTCTTACAAAACAGAATATATGGCAGGTTGCAGGCCAAACAGGACAAGATTACTATCAAATGCTAAATGTACAGCCAAGTTCTGCATGCTTCACCAAACTCCATGGAACATATAGGCCACAAAGATGGCCTTTGTGCTTCACTACGCAAGGTAGTACATTGGGTTCTCAAGGATTGAAAGGCACACAAATTGTACCAGGAGACACAGGCTCAAACCTTAAAAACACCAGTACTCATGGCTCTCAAGGCAGCTAGACAAGACCAACCAACTCCATGATTCCCTGCAGTTCTACATTTTTAATATACATCCATCAGTTGAAGAAAATTTAAATTGTTTCCATTTTCCTAGCATTGTGATTAGATCAGCAGTGAATGTGGCTTAACAAGTATCTGTAAAGTAGGATATAATGTCATTTGGACATAGACCATAGAGTGGTATGGCACAATTATTTTTAGCTTTTTAAGAATTCTCTACACTGATTTCTAGAAATGTTGGACCACTTTGTCATCCATCAACTAATGAATGGGGGTCTCCTTTTCCATCCATGCCCTCCAGCATTGGTTGTGAGTTGTTTTGTTAATATTTGCCATTCTGACTTGGATAAGAGGAAATCTCAAAGCTGTTTTAACTTGCATTTCCCTAATTTGTAGAGAAGATTAACATATTTCTTACCCATTTTTCTTTCTCCTTTTGGGAACTCTGTTCAGTTCCCATGCAGATTTTTTTTTTTAATGAGCCAGGGTTGATTTTGTTGTTGTTGTTTTTAATCTTACATTTTTGTTTGTATGTTTTTTTTAGTTCTTCCTATATTCGGAATATTACTCCCCTGTTGGATGTACAACTGGCAAATACTCTCTTCCTGGTGAGCTTCCTTTTCACTCAATTAATTATTTCTTGAAATACCCACTATTTTTGAGTTGAATTTAATCTGTGTCTATAATCATAAGGAAGTGCTTTTTATGAAACTGGATGCCCCAGAGCTTGGTGCATATATGTATTTAGAATGGTGATATCTTCTTGGTTGTTTCCTTGGTTAGAATAAAGTACCTTGCTTTATCTCTTCTGATTAGCTTTAGTTTAAGTTATTAATTTTCAGTTATTAGCATAGAAATATGCCTATTTTCTTCCTGGTCACATTTCAGTGGAGTCTTTTTGTCCATCCTTTTACACGAAGATGGTACCTGTCTTTAAAGCTGTGTTTCTGATAGACAACAGAGAGATGCTGTTTCTTGATCTAGTCACTCAGCTTGTGTCTTTTAATTGGGAATTGAGGCCACTGATATTTAGAGTTATTACTGAAATGTGTGTGTGTTTATTGTGGTCATTTCATTATTGATTTAGGATGTTGTATTCTCAGTAGTACTTTGTGTTTTATTAGTTAGGGTTCCATATTTCCTTTTACAGTATCTTGCTATGCTTATTTCTCTTTTTAGCCTAAAATATATTCTTCTAGTGTTTTCTTTAGGTTTGGGTTGTTGGGTGTAATTTTTTTAGGCTGTTTAGATTTTGGAAAGATTTTCTTTTTGTCTAACTGTAGTGGATATTTTTCATGAGTAGAATAGTCTGTGTTGGCCATCATGGTCTTTTAGGACTTGGAATAAAGGGTTCCAGCTCTTCTGGGTTTCAAAGTTTCCACTGAGAAATCAACTATTATTCTGATGAATTTATGTTTATAAGTAACTTGTGGGTTTGTCCCGCGCGATATTCTCACCGGCAAGAATCACACAGGACATTCGGATCCTTCTGCAGGAAAGCTTTAATGCATCTTGAGAGAGGAGAGCATAAGCTTACCAGAGCGGAGACCCCGAGCCAAGAATCCCGTCCCCTAATAAAGGCTGGCAGCCCCGCCTGGGACGTGTCACCCTATGAATGGCTTCAGCTCCTCAGGCCATATGAGCCACGGGATAGGCAGAGATCAAGGAAATGGAAAATTACCCAGCGCCTGCGAAATAATTTACATTCAGTGCCTGCAGGCACCATCATTGTAATGGAGAATGCAGGGACAGCTCCCTACATGGGTTTGTTGTTTTTCTTTGAAGCTTTCGACAGTCTTTCCTTGCTCTGTATACTCAGTGTTTTAGCTAAGATATGTATGGTAGTTTGAATGTAATTAACCCCTGAAAGCTTATAGGAAGTAGCACTATTAGGAAATGTGACTTTGTTGGAGTAGTATGGCATTGTTGGAGGAAGTGTGTCACTGTGGAAGTTTTCTTTGAGGTCTCATATACGCTCAAGTCATACCCAGAGAGACAGACCTCTTCCTTTTGCCTGCAAGATGTAGAACCCTTAGCTACCTCTCCAGCACCATGTCTACCTGCATGCCACCATGTCCCACCATGGTGATAATGAACTGAATCTCCAAAACTGTAAGCCACTCAATTAAACATTTTTCCTTTATAAGGGTTGCTATAGTCATGCTGTCTCTTTACAACAATAGAAATTCTAACTAAGACAATAAGCATTGGAAATTCTCATTTCTAGTCTTTTATATTTTGTATTCTAGGTGCTTCTTCTATCTGTATGGGTGTGTCTTTCTTTACTATGGGGAAGTTTTTTCTATGATCTTGTTGAAGATCTGGTCTATGCCATTAACTTAGGATTCTTTTCCATCATCTATGCCTGTAATTAAAAGATTTTTGTCTTTTCATAGTATCTCACATTTCTTTTATATTCTTCTACTGTAGTTTTTATTTTAGTGAAAATACATGTTTCATATAATATATTCTGATCATGGTTCCCCTTCTCCAATTCCTCCCAAATCCTTCCCACATCCTCATCCACCCAACTCCATATCTTCTCTGTCTCTCTGTGTGTCTCTGTCTCTCTGTCTCCCTTTCACCCCTCTCTCCCTCTCTTTCAAAAATGCAAACAGTTAAATAAAAAGATAAAAACACAAGACACACAGAAAAATCATAAAAACACAAAATCAGAAAACATAATATACAAGCAAAGGATTAGTAAGACAAGAAATGCCTAAACAAAGCAATATGAGATTTTTTTTGAAAAATCTAAATCTACTTAAATATTATGTGGTTCCTTTTGTGTTCCCCATCTAATGCTAAGTATGCAACCTACCCTATGTCTGGTTTACATATCCAATAGAATCCATTTTAGAAAACTGGTTTCTTCCTTGTAAGTGGATGTAAATTGAAGGTAGCTTCTTGGTTAGGGATATGAAATATTATCCATTTGCCCTCTCAGTGTTGGGACCCCATCTGACTTGAATTTGTGCATGCTGAAACAGTCTCTGCACATTTATATGTGTATCAATCTTTTTGTATGTGAAAAAAAGAGTTTTCTCGGTGTCATCTACTCCCTCTGTCTCTTACAATTTTTCCATTTAGGTCTGAATGTTCCAAAGTGTCTCTGCCTCTGTCTCTCCCTTCCCCCACTCTCTCCAGTTCTGGGTCTCCATGTAATTCCCAAAGGAACCTTCTCTGATGGTGGTTAAGAAAGACAATAATCTAAGGGTATAGAAGAATGTCATTCACAGTCATTTTATAGCTATGTCCCTTCAGCAGACCAATAGTATTTGGTTTTTCCCTAGGCCCATGGCATAACTAGTACCACCTAAGCAATAGAAGAAATGAGTTTTATATCCTGGAGTGGGTTTCCAACCAGGGAGTGATCATTTATTCCCACAATGTTTGTGCCACTATTGCACCACCATATCATTCAGATAGATGTCTGTTTTAAATTTCAAGGTCTGTAGCTGGGTTGGTGTTTACCTTCCTTCTCTAGTAGCATGCAGAGTATCTTCTGGCACCATGAATAGTAGTCAGTAGGGGTGAAGGCTCTAGGTAGGCATCAGCTCATCTTCTGTATGTTCAGTGTGTTATAAATGTGTGGACTTCAGAAATATGTCCCATATGTTGGTGTATTGGTTTTTTTCAGTCTCATTCAATTCTAAAAAAGCTTTTATATTCCTTCTTAGCTTCTACCTTAGCTGTTTTTCATTCAGCAATGAATTGCTTCGTTTCCATTAGTCTATATGCATGCTATTGCTTTTGTTGTTGTTGATATCCACTTTCAATCCATGGTGGTAAGATAGGAAGTAGTATTATTCTGATTTTCCTATATCTGTTGAGACCTGATTTGTGGTCAATTTTGGATAAAGTTCCTTGAGTTTCTGAGAACAAAGAATATTCATTAGTCTTTGGGTGGAATGTTTCCTAGATAATTGTTAGGTCCAGTTGACTTATGAAATCATGTAATGCCAGTGTTTCTGTTTAGTTTTTGTTTGGATGACCTCTCTATTTATGAAAGTGAGATATTTAAGTCACCAGTTATCACTGCATGAGGTTCAATGTGATTTTAGCTGTAGTAGTGTTTCTTTTATGAACTCAAGTACTGTTATGTTTTGTGCATAAATGTTTATAATTGCATTGTCCTCTTGATAGATTTTTTTCCCTTGGTGAGTATGTAATGTCCTTCCTTATATCTTCTGATTAGCTTTTGTTTGAAGTCTAGTTTGTCTGATTTAAAATGACTACACTAGCTTGCTTCTTGAGTTCATTTGCTTGGAGTATCTTTTTCCACCCTTTTACCTTGAGGTGAAGTTTATCCTTGATGGTAAAGTGTGTTTCTTGGAATCAACAGAAAGATAAATTCTGGGTTTGTTGTTTTTTTGATCCAGTCTCTTTAGTCTGTTTCCTTTTATTGGCAATTGTGATTATTATGGGAGTTAGAGCAGGGTGACACTGGGGATGAGATAACTAAGAGATACAGGATGGCACTGAACAAGAGAAACGTGAACCTCATAGGTGAGCTGAGTCCCCTTCAACTGACAGTCCCTCCCAGCCATTTTCTGACTGTACCTGGACTTGTTGCTTCACAATATATACACGTTTGCTAAAGACTTGTCCCTAGCTTGTCCCTCTCATTTTCTCCAGGTCTCTTGCATAACACCAACACAGACTGAATTAAACCCGCTTTACACATGTTATTATGAATACCAAACACTTCATGATCAACCACTCTGCTTGGGGTAGTCAGTGGTTAAAACCAAATGATACTATGCCATAGAGGAGGGAATATAGGCTTTGAATGGCATAAATGCAGGCAGGACTACATGCCACTGGAATTAAAGATTTAGTGTGCTGTTCTGGGCATTCACAAGAAGAATATAACAAAAAAAGAAAAATATAACATAAAGAGTAGAGATTTCTGGCTACTTCTTGACACATGGAGAGAGCTCTAAAAGCTCTGATTGTGTACAAACCTCTCACAGAGAACCCAGAACTTTCCTTATCCAGAGATTAGTATAGGCACTGATGCGCTTTGTCAAGTGCTGATGCAATAGGGTGCAATAATAGGCCCAAGTTCTCTATAAGCATAGTGGGACTCCAAGGTGGTTGAGGTCAAGAAAATCTTGGTCTTGGTGAGAACTATCCAATCCCACCATGCAGGTGTAAGACCCTTGAAAAGCTGAGGCTTCCAGAATCTTAGCCCAGGACCTCGGCCACCCCAAACACAAAATGGAGGTGAAAGCTTGATGCAAATTGCATGAGGCTTTATTGTAGTTTAACGAGCTAACCCCATGTTAGCTTGGGTCTTTGACCCACCCACCATGGCGGATGGCTAGCAAAGACAGTTCGAAGCCACTGTGTACAGATCTTTATAGGGCAGCATAAGGGGAGTGTCTAGGGGTATGCATAGGCTCAGGATTGGTGTGCCTCCAGGCTTGGAGGGTTTGCCCTGTGTTGATTGGTCAACTGGTTGTTATGGCCCAT